TAATAACAATGATAATGAAAAAAGGATGAAGATGATCATAATTATGATAATAAATTTTAGAAATAAGTTGAGTGAACGCGTCTGGGAGGGAAAAACTAATCAAGATCAGATTTACAATACGCGGCAGAGGAAGTGGCTCTTTGCCCGCATTTTTTATTCGCTTTTTTTTATTAGGAAACGGAATGTGGTTTAAGGTGTTTCAAACTGCACTATCAGCTTTTTTTCATAATAGTAGTTATGTGTAAGGGAGAAATGTATTTTTTCTTCTTCGTCCTCTCTTCTCCACTTCTCCTCCTCCTCCTCCCCTCCTCCTTCTCCTCCTCCTCCTACTCCTCCTCCTCCTACTCCTCCTCTTCCCCCCTCCTCCTCTTCCCCCCTCCTCCTCCTTCCTATTCCTCCTTCTCTTCCTCCTCCTCTTCCTCTCCCTCTCCCTCTACCTTCTCTTCCTCCTCTTCTTCTTCTTCTTCTTCTTCTTCCTCTACCTCCTCCTCTTTCTCCTCTTCCTGCTTTTCTTCCTCTTCCTCCTCCCGCTCTTCTTCTCCTCCACTGCCTCCTCGTCCTCCTCCTCCTCCTCATCCTTCTCCTCCTCCTCATCCTTCTCCTCCTCCTCATCCTTCTCCTCCTCCCCCTCTTCCTCCTCCCCCTCTTCCTCCTCCTCCCCCCCCTTCATATCATCTTCCTTCTTAATATTTTTTTCCTTTCTCTGTGCTTATCGGTGACGTTCTTTTTTTACCAGTAGTTCACAGTTGTTATCAGCGTCCTGTTATCTGCCACTCGTACGTTTGCAGTCTGCGCGCAAGTACCAGTCACGAATGTGTTCGGTGGGAACGCCTTCATTTCCTCGCTTGCATTTCTTTTTCCGTGTCCCAAGTGAAAGAAAGAGGAAATTTCTCCGATCAGTCTGTGAAAAACAAAAGCAAGAAGGAAACGGTGAAAAAGATTGAGTGGTGTTTATGGATTCACTGTGTGATACCGTGTCTGGGACGTGCGCATGCGCGGAGATAACTTCGGCGTTGAGGTGTTGCTAGCGTTTTATTGTTCGTTAGGTGACTTACGGTGGTTTACGAGTGTAATAGGTAAAGAAAACGATGAAATGCCCAAGTGCCAATATGCTCAGTTTGTTTGTCTGGTTGCATGTTCTCTCCCATAACGGACTGTGGGAAACAGAGATAGCTTAATCGTGGTTTGCGATTACCAGGATAATGATAACGTTTGATAGAGTAATGATGGTAAAGTAATAGAAAGTCAAACGAAGGCAATGGCATATTTGTTTCAACGCACGTGGTCACAGCTGTTCGTGCGAGTGACAGGCGAGAAGGCAGTCTAGCCACCTTGGAGGATGACGCGCGCGAGCTCGTTATCGATACCCGGATGCTGAGAGCGCCCTCTGTCCGCAGCCTTCGTCGTAATTGCGCTCCTATCTGGACACTCTCCCGTTATCCGGCTGGTCTGCAACCTCTCTTGTGGGCGACTGTCTATCTATTACTGCACTTATTCGGGCAAATATGGCATTCGAGATGGATAATTTAGGGCAGGTGATTCATCGTGTTTGTTTATGAGTATTTTTGTTTGTACTTGCGTGTGTGTAAGCGTTTGAGTCTGAGTATGTTTAAAAGTGTGTCACTGTTTGTGTATAGGTGAGTGCGGTTACGTGCGTCTGTATACGTGCAAATTGGTTATGTGTAAGTGCCCCATGAATGCTAGGGGTGTCTTTTTAATGGGCCCTTACTGCGACAACAGGCGTGTTCTCGCCGCTTCCCAGAACACGCCTGCGACACCTCGTGACGTCATACAGTGCGATTACGTAGGAGGTATGTGAGCCGACCCACTTCTAGGATATCCTTCCCTGGCTTAGCCCTCTCACGCCGTGAGAATGACGCCTCGAGACAAAAGGACGTTGATAGCACAAGCAAATAAACAGTCGCTGACAGCAGTACTCAGGGAAGGGTGCGCGGACGGAGAGGGAGCTGAGTTGGGTCGCGTTATTGGTCGGTCGTTAAGCGTGATTGAAGGGAATAAAACGCGTGCCAGTGCGCGGCAGAGAGCGGGCCGTGATTTGTCGCCGCGTGACATTTCGAAGGGAACGTTCAGTTCTTCCGCCTAGTTATTTAATGAGTTTGTGTGTGTGTGTGTGCATGACCGCGCCCAACACTCATGAGCCCCAACAGGCGACATATGTGCAACACCTTTTTGTCGGAGAAATAGCCAAATCCGTCTCCGGTGTTGACCAACTCGTGGCCGTTTCGAGGGGGGGGGGATGAGATGGCGTTACAAGATGTACTTTGCAAAGCAAAAGGGAGAGGAGAGATGTCTAGCGGTTGTGTCATTCACGTTGAAGGACAGGTCGAAGTAGTTCTGCCTACTGTTCTAAAAATAGAGGTAAGCCGACACAAAATTGGAGGGAGTTGTCTTTGAGTGGTTAGAAGTTATAACAGAACTCTGAAAAATTATTGATATTTTTCACGACTTTAAAAGACGCCAAGGTCAAGGAGGAAATATCTTGACACTGCTGTCCCTCGCGTCCCATACTGTAGGCGTACACGGGTTTCCGTCTCGTATTTGAACTATATGTGTGCGTAAACGTGAAATTCGACGGTATAAGTGATCCCATTCTGTCGCATTTCCCAAACAGAGCTTAAAAGGAACTAGCAGGGACAATGGCGACAGAGCCACTGGACGAGACGTGCGCCGTGAGAGACTTCATGCAAGCGCTCAGGTTTGCCGGCACAGACGAAGACGAAGAGAAAAGCCACGCGGCTCTCACTGCGAAGAGCATCCTCGGGACGAGCGATGGCCAAGGGGCGCAGGCAGACAGCGGAGGGGAGCACGAGGGTAGGGAGGCTCCCCTCGAAGGATGTCAGGCGACGGGGATAAACCTCGGGGAAGCGACAGGCGCCTCGATGCCTGCTGAGTCAGGAGAAGGCGGCAGTGAGCAGCACGAGGCAGAGGCGACACCAGAGGCTGGATGCCAGGCAGCTGGCCAGATGACCCTCGAAGTAAGAAGAGGATCTAAGACTAGCGCTTTCGATGATGATGAAGACGAATATGTCGAATACGATTCGGATTCCAGCATCGAAACTTTCTTCCCGAGATCCGAGAGCACGGACGACATCATAGCCATTATAAGAGAACAGGAAAATGAGGAACAGGGAGACGAGGACAATCTGCAGGAGTCCCCAGAAGCGTCCTTGTCTCCCGGGGCCTCGGTGGAAGCGAAAGGATCCCTGGGTGTGAGGCGCCGCATGGCATTTCGGGAACCAAGGAAAGCCAACTTTAACTTCAGGTAAAGTTGTGTGGTCTGGGAACAGTCTTGGGCTCTTTCTAGTAATAATGACAGTGGTTTTACTGAAGCCTTCAATTCTCGTAATGATTTTTGAAAAAAAACAGGTCTTTTTTATCTGTATGGACAGTCATTCCAGTTTAGAGTACAGTCTAAAGTAACTTAGATGAAGACTACGTCTTTTTTTTCTCTTTCTCCCTCCCTCCCTCCCTCCCTTCCTCCCTTCCTCCCTCCCTGCAACACACTCCCCCTTCCTCCCATCATCCCCGCCCCCTTTCTCCTTCCTAGCTCTCTTTATCCCTTTCTCTCTCAATCCCTCTCGTCCTTCGGGTCCTCCTCGAAGAGAGGCAGGAACGCATGAGAATTGGAGTGGCCCTTGAGGATATGGGGAGGAGGAGAAAGAGAGAGAACAAGAATAAGAAAATAATAGGAATAAGAATAAGAAACCTAAGGCGAATGAGAAACCGGAGGGAGGTAGCTTAGTTTAAGGCCAGGAGGAGATGAGGGTGATCACTTTTCTCTGCTGCAATCCCCAAATCCGATCGGAAAAGCGATGGAAAGGAAGAGACGACGTGGGATAAGAGGCGGAGTAGGAGGCAGGGGAGAAGGATTAGAAGATGGGAATACGGACAGGAAGACGAGGAAGGAGGGCAGTGCGCGGAATTACTTGACGTGGTGAGCAAACTTCGAGGGAGATGAAGTCGCTGAGGATTTAATTTTTGGGTGTTGTAATCCCACTTGAATGGTATTTTTTACGGATAAATCTATTTAATGTTCATCGTCCCACAAGCTCAATCATTCTATAGGTATTCGATGCTGCTTAGGCCTACATGGTTAGGCTTTGCGAGTTTGTTATAGGATCTGTAATGGGATCGATACTCATTCTATTAGAATGTCGTCAGCCGAACGAACGAGATCTTCCCTCTCTTCATGCATATTGCCACGCCCTCTAGAGAAATTAAGAAGAGAAGGAATGACGGAGACCATGTCCGATTCAATCTATCCGCCCCTCGGCCCGCCGATCGTGTCTCGGCATAAAAAAAGTTGCAAAAGCCGGCCGCCGCAAGCGCTCAGCCAGGTTCCCTTCGTCCTCGGCGCCTCGCTCGAAAGCTGGCTGGAGGGAACTACATCACGATAATGAAGGATTTTTTCCTCCTTTCTTTTTTTTCTTTTTCTTTTTTGAGGGGCAAAAGGAGGAAAGTGGACTCGTCTCCTTCGCAGGATACACAAAATTTCCCGCCAGCGACCCTACTCGGCGGCCTCTCATCCTTGACCTTTGGGCTTCGCGAAAGCCTCGCAGCTCCTCTCTTACGCGACTAATGCTCGGTGCCTTTTTTCTTTTTATCTTTTTTGTTCGTTTTTTGTACGTTTTTCCGTTTTCTTTCATGACTAGACGTTTCTCCTTTCTTTTCTGTCTCCCATTTTCCCCTTAAACTTTGACCTTTTCTTACGTTGGGTTCAACCGGCACTTCTTTCCGGCAATGGGTTGTTTTGATTCGGATTTCGTCGGCGTTCTCTTAGTTCTTTTTATATTTTTTGCTTTCATCTTTTTTTTTTTTAACAAACTTTGTTTTTCAACAGCTCTATCTTTTGTGCATCGTACTTCAAAAAACTTTATTAGCATTCTTTTAAAAAGAATCCTCTTGAACATTTTTTTATGAAATAAAATTAAAGAAAACATTCCACTAACACGCTCTTTTCTTTTCTTTTCTCCCTCTAG